ATATGCAAGTTTGTACAAATGTCATCTGACTGTTACCAGGACCAGTATGTAGGCTAGCTCCTCGGCTCCAGGGCTAGCCTCTGGCAACAGCCTGGCACCCAGGCTAGCCCTGGAGCCGAGGAGCAGGCTCAGTACAGGCTACAGGCCGAGGATCAGTACAGGCTAGCTTCTCGGCGCCAGGACCAACATATCTCCTAGGAAAAAAACACCACAGACCCCCTCAGAGCAACATGCTTCTCAGGGTCTAACTGGGACTTGCCTATCTATTGGTCAACAGTCCGGTACCCAGGCGACTGATACTATGCGCCTCAGTTTGCCACAACCTCAGCAAAGTTTTGCCTCTCAGAATTCTGTGATGGACGACGACTGATTAGTTTTGCAGAGACCCACTCCCAGACCGTGCCTCACAGTTGTCCCAATTTGTTTCTCCCAACCTTTTCGTTTTTCTCTAACGAACTACATGAAGGGCACATGTTCAGAGGCTGACTTCAACATGTGCGTAGGTTTGCAATTCGCTTAAAAGTGTGTCAAAGGTCAATTATCTTTCCGCCTTCTCAATTATTTTGCCATAATAATTTCCAGTTCAGGCTTTTTTCTTTGCCCACGGGGGGGCTTTCCTTCATAATAACGTGTCAAAGGCCGGCTATCTCTTTATCCAACATGTTTGCGCTAATAATTTCCAGAGGAACGCTTTAGTTTTGCCCGTAGGGGTCGTTATCACATGTCAAAGTGTTTGAGACCAGTTATATCTTTTTTATCCCCGCTGAGGTTTTGTGATAATAATTTCCAGGACATGCAGCTTTCTTGTACCCCCAAGAGTCTTAAACGTTATTTCAGAGAGTCAAGGTTCAGTGATGTTTTTCTCCATCGATATCCTTGATAATAATTACCAGCATCGGGGTCTTTAGTGACCCACAGGGATCTTTTCTTTACCCTTATGTCAAATGTACGTTCATGGATAAGCGGAGACTATCCAGACCCGTGTCTGATCTAAACCAGTAACCCATTCAGGCATAGAAACAGATACGTTAGGCCAGGAAGAAAACGTTACTATGTTTCCTCCCTCTCTCTGCTTGGAGGTTACCCTTTACTGAGAGTTCTACTTGCGGTCCGGTGTTGTCTATATGCGGACTTGGCTTGTGTACGTCCACAACCAGCCTCTGGTGTTTCTTCTTCTTCTTTCATACTGCAATAGCAATTGTATTATTAGCTGCAATAGCAATTGTATTATTAGCAGCTGCACATGTGATAATTACAAACCCAGTGACCGGTACAAATAAAACTAAAGGGAAAATAAAGATGAGGCCACAAAGGAACATATATAACTGATCCTGTGCGTGTAAAAGAAAAGACAAGTGAATTTAGTGCGTTAGTGATATGTAAATATGCAGCAGGGTCCTCGCCAGTCCAGTTTTGAACTGGTTGAGAGACCCCGCCTCCGCCACACCAGGCTCAAGTTCGTTCTACTCTTTGATGGTACGTGTTTAATCGCGTATACCGGTATCACCTGATGCTGAGGTCACATTTCCAAACCGGGGCCCGGCCGGACAGTCTTATGGAACGAAAAGTGTGACATTTAAGACAATAAAGCAGAAAAAGTTGAAAAAAATTAAAGATGGGCATTATTTGCGTATATTTGTTATATGAATTGTTGATATTTCGTTAATCGAAACAGCCTGGCCGGGCCCCGGTTTAAAAATATGACCTCGGCATAAAGCGGCCGCATGTGAGACGAGTTACCATGGCAACTTGACCACGCCCACCGACATCTGGACCGATTTCTCCAGGCTGGATTCTTGGGCAGAGAAGGTCGGCAGAAGGTTGCAGCAACTTGTTCCAGAAACATATTTCATTTCACCAACCCCATTCCAGAAATACGTGAATGTGCTCACTCAGTGTGTTGCCTGTCGCTGTGTGGATTTTTGGAGAGCCATTTGTTTTGTCACCGGCAAGTGTCTGGTTATAAGAACACATTTTCAAGACACATTTTTCCACGAAAATGTGTTCTTTGGGAAAGAGATTCATCTGAAATAACGTTTTCCAACAAGAGTAAACGTTACCTTCGTCTGTTGTCTTAGCTTAGATTTTTCAAGGGAGACAGAAAAAGCTAGCGCTGGGATCAGGATTGGGGAAATGTGTTGATTGACCGAAAAAAACATGTACTATATATTTACAACGTTATGGGGTTGAATTTTATAGTTCATACACATTTGTAAAAGCATGAACGTAGTAGCATGGTTGTGAGAGGCATATTTCGGGCAATGATGTTACAAACAACATACTAAACCATACCTTTTTATGTCTAAACCATAGCTTCTTATGTCTGATACTCAAGAACATCCCAACGTGCGCGTTTCTGCTAAACACTTTCCCATGGCGGAACATGGTGTGCTCTAACCCTTTTTTGTTACCTAAAAGGCTTTAAACTTTACGGTCCACTTGGGTACCCAAAATATTTAAATCCAAGCTTGAAGGGAAAACGTGTGCGCGCCGTCTGTGGATTCCTGTGGCATTTCTGCCGCCTCAAGTCTCGTGCCAAGTTCTCTACTGTGGGCCGCAGCTGCGGTCTAAGGCCACAGCAAGTAAATTTTATGGACGACATCCTCCACAGACTCCAAATCTACTGCGGAAAACCTAGTTTCCTACATTTTAAGTTTTTGACATAAAAAAAAAAGACGATCTCCTCTCTTCATATCTACCCGCCATCCACGTTACGGCATGGTAACAGACAGCTCATTTTCGGCATGTTGGCCACTGCCACTAATTTTCTCCCAAGAAAATCGGACGAAAATTAATGCCCAGGTTGATGTCGCCCATAAAATTACTTTATGTGGCCTAAACTGGAAACTGGCTCGTCTGGTCTCACACGTAAAACTTCAGTGCAACACATGCGATTACCAACTATTCTTGCACAGTCGGTGAAGGTTAGACATCCAGGTAATAAGATACGCCAAAAACAGCTACTTAAGCAACTGGATATGATTTTGGGCCGTTTGGACGTGTCTGACCGTTTCCAAAATTATATTCAGTTGCTTGAGTAACTGTTTTTTGGCATTAGTGCAAGCAAAACATGCGGTTACCAACTGTTCTTGCACAGGTTTTCCTCATATAAATTCGATACACTTCTTGGAAGGGACGATTTTCTAACTGCTGCATTCCTGGCGACCAAACAAGCGCGATGCATTTCGGGCTTGGTGACCTTGAAATAGCCGCTGCAGTTTTGTAACGACTTTTTGTGCCGCCTCCTGGTATCATGATAAACCCTTACAGACGACACGCACCGCATTTTCCGTCTGATTGAACAGTAAATAATATGATAAACCTCAAACCCCCCTGTCAGCGCCTCTAATGAGGTCACTGGGTCGTCCGTCCGCCAGGCATATTTTTGTGTCACGTTTCCAGTCCAAGGTCAGACTTTTGCAGGAAACGAGTTTCTGTATAGCCTTACGGTAATCCTCTATCGAGTCTGCAATCGTTTACAGTCGCTGCAATGTGGCCTTCCTGTATATTATGATAGATTGTGTAAAATTTGAGTCTGGATCCTTGAAGGGGGGGGGGGGGCGTTAAAAGGTGTTGGGGGTAAGTGTCGCCAAGAAATGACACGGGTGGGTCTAGATAACGAGGAGACATTTCAGAATTCACTTGAGTCTTCTTGGGTCACTTTCTTGTAAGTAAGCATAGATCCTTTCTATCTCTTCTTCAATCTTCGAGACATAAGCCGAGCAGGGGCACCGGTGCGTCTGAAGCCTAATCTCGAAATAGTATTAGTATTAGCACGATTACAAAGCTTTAAAGCCTCAGATCTACCGTCTTGTGTTTTCCGAAACTAACCCTTTCTGTACACCATCTTGACACCTTCTTCTATTCGCCGTACCGTTCAAAGATCTTCAAAAGACGCCCGGCCAATCTCCGGATGGTTTATTAGCTTCTCTCATCACCAGAACGGCAGGAATTCTAGTCCAATTACTCAATTTTCTGGAACTGATCAGCCCGGAGAGAAGTGGCCCTCTGGTGTTTATCAAGAATCTTCAGACATCATGTCAGAAAAGTGTGGGGCTGGGAAACCAAGTGGCTGTCCTTGTGTTGAGGCTGTTGTTACAGGCATGCCATACCTAGTCAGGGTGTTCTTCACACTCTCTTTCCACGTCTTCTTGGGACGTCCCCTTGCCTTAGATCCAGATTTTCTGTTGTGGTATGTTTATCAGGCACCTTCAGACATCATGTCGGTAAAAGTGTGCGGCTGGGAAACCAAGTGGATGCCCTTGTCTTCAAGGTACCTTCAACTGTTCAAGGCAAATTGCCTAAAGAAAATACCACACGTTTCCTTTTGAATGTTCATTCTACTTAACTTTACACTATCCGTCCACTTCTACCGTCTGGGGTGTCGTGGGGAGGGACAGTTGGCGGCAAAAGGCTAGTCTGGAGGCTCTTGTTCCTGATAGCTGCCCAAGACAGGAAAATCTGGCAACACCTCTGCTGCAAGGTCTGCCTTGTCCCCCCGACGACCGGTCATGGGACTAGGTAGGTAGGTACTAAGGTAGTAGACACATGCCATACCTAGTCGTACCCTCACACTCTCCCCTTGCCTTAGATCCAGACTTTCCCTTGTTGTATACTCTGTGTGGTACGTTTTGGTGAGGTATCCTTGCAAGGTGTCCAAATCACTTGATTTGTTGTTGGCCAATGTTCCTTTATTTCCCAAATAGGGGGACACTCGAGTGTTTGTTCTGCGGTTGTGACCCATTACTGGGACAAAACAGTAAAAGTAGTTCATGTGTGGGAGGGGGATGGAGAGAGATCGTGAGTACGTTGCCACCTGCCTCTAGGCTCACTGTTGGAGTGATTGTCGTCAGTAGATTGTATCTTTATCTGTGTCTGAATTAATGAACCGCAGGGACCGCCTTTCCGCGTAACGTTCTAGATCCGTTCTAGATACATGCAGCCGGCTGCGACTGG